GACTACTCCAAGGAACAGTTTGTGGGAGAATCAAGGATCCTTTGCAGAATGTCTATTTCTCACTGTGTGCACAGATTACAGGCCCCTGTGCTGTGATGATTGTACTTATTTGACACTCTTTTTCGCACTGGTACTGTTGCTCAGAAGGGTGGGACAGGTACTCAAGGGAAGAGAATTGACATCTGCATGTGAGAACCCAGATCATCTTTCTCTGTGGTCTGAGGAGCACTGTCTTACTGTGTCTGACTTACCATGTGCGTGGGAGAATGTATATATGTATGCTTGTATGGCTGTATGTATGTTGTGCCTCATATATTGCAGAGAAGTAAGGTGAGTGTGGCCTGCTGGGTGTGGCCTGGATCCATCCTAGGTGATTGGAAGGGTCTCAGCTTATATAAGCTTGGTAAAATGAAAGTCTTTTATTCTTCTATCTTTTCTAAATACAAAGGTAGCTTGGGGCATCGCAGTTCCCTTCTGTAGAAAACAGAGAGATCACTGTTAAAATTTGAGAGGCTGAGAGGAGAGATTTGTCCTGTTCTCACTTAGCGGAACATAATTGGTGCAGAGATTTGAATAAGTGACATGAACTGAATGGAATGGGAGTGTTACACTTCAGAAGATCACTGAAGTGTAAATTGGAAGGCTTGAAAGGACATATTATTTGACCCCAAAGTCTTTCTAATGTAAAATGTTGTACCGTCTTGGCATGGAGATTAACAGTGAGAGATTAACAGTGGGGGCGGGGGGGTTAGAATAAGAGATGCTCTAAATGTGCAGCGTACAGTATACCTGTGGTAAACTAGAAATGTCTGTGATTTTACAGTCGTCTTAGTTCCTGCCAGGGCTCCTGTAGCCATACAGTGTTCGTCTTTAAATGGGCGAAAGACCAACTTTCTGGTGAATCAAGTGCTACTACATTACTACACTTCCACACTATTTATTTGGGGATTGGGTGGGGTCGCTGCAGCCTCGTAGTTGAAGTACCTGAGTACTGCCCTGTTGTTTGAAGGGCACACTTCTATGGAGTGCTTAATACTGCTGTGCATGGTACATTCAGTTCTCTTCCTGCTAGATTTTTCTGTACCTGTCTTTAGAGTATCTTTTATTCCTTCTGGAACAAAACAATCAAAGACAATTGAAAATCTTTTGTTAGTTCCTGTACCTCTGCCAACATTTCTGAGCTGCCATTCTAGGCTCCTCGCTGTCATAGGGTGAAATCCTTGCATTACTGGTATAGCAAATATGAGAATGTGATAGCCTAAACTGGACTACACTTTTCTTTTGCTCTGGAATCCCACTTTTCCTCTTTCCCTGAATTGTGTTTGCCAACAGAGTTAAATTTCCTTTGTATTTTTTTAAAAAAAAAAGAACATTAAAAACGGACTGTCTCAAATGGCTTTAAGAAAGTTAAATGGCTAGTGCTGCTTGAGCAGACATGTTGAAAGGACATGCAGCTCCTGTCTTGTTTCCCAACCTTTTTACCTTATGCTTGCCGGTGAACTCAGCTGCTTCTCTGGTCAACTTGAAATATCAGTAAAATGTTTGCACAAATTTGTCCACTTTATTGGCCCCTTTCACACTTTGGATTTACATGAAAAACGAAAGACAGACAGACAGGTAGGTAGAGTTTGTCTTTTATCCCAGCACTCAAGTGGCAGAGTCAGGCAGATCTCTGGGTTCAAGGCCGGCCTGGTCTCTAGAGTGAGTTTCAGGACAGCTAGGGCTGCACAGAGAACCCTGTCTCACAAAACAGAGCAAAAGAAAAAGGAGTAAAGAAGCACCAGGCATGCACACAGTGTGCTTACCTGCAGGCCAGACATTCATAAAAAATAATAAAGAAAAACGGTTACAGAGATAACTCCCCAGACAGACAGAGCTGTTTCCTATTCCGTGCTTCAGCAGCAGTACCTGTTCCTGAGGTGGTTCTATGAGATTAGATTTATGTTAAAGAGCCAGAGAATGCTGATCAATAGAAGAAATAATGAAGAGAAAGGACTGGTAGGTAGCTCTTGGGCTGCTGATTTCTGAGTTTTGGGCTACTGAAGCACATTCTAATGCCCACTTAATTTCAGGGTTTCTGTCATTCTAGTCTTTATTTGTTTCTGTTAATGGCATCTGATCATACAAATAGCTGTGTATAAAGCCTGCCACACAACTGCAAGACTTTTTGACCCTTTCTTTTTAATTTTTAAATCTTGACATGGCATCTCACTATGTAACTCTAGCTGTCCCAGAAATTTGATGTGTAGACCAGGCCAGGCAGGCCTTGAACCTGAAGAGATCTATTTTCCTCTGCCTCCCTGGTGCTGGGATTAAAGGCCTGTGCCACCATAAGACTGTTGGTCCCAGAGCCAAAGGAATCAGAAAAACAAGACAATAGAGCTCTTCCGTGTGTCTTGAGCAGAGACATTGTGTTGCTAATTGAACCACAGCCTGTGAAATAATAGTTCCTGTATCTTAGAAAGGGCCAGAGAAGATAGACAGGTACAAGAAGTCATGAAGAGAAAGGACTGGTAGGTAGCTCTTGAGCAGCAGTGCTGATGTCTGAGTTTTGGGCCATATTCACAGTTCAGTTCATGTGCTAGAGCTGCCACTCAATAGTCTCCAGAAAACCATATATAAAACTCATTGCTCCTTTTTAAGTTTCCCCAACTTTACATACAGAACACATTCAGACTCAGACTTCCATTCATTTGTTCCTTCCTCTTTATAAAAAAAAATTGAGTATTTGTATGTTGATGTGGGTTGTACACCCAGTTGCCGGGCCTGTGGAGGCTAGAAAGCTGGGGCTGGAATCGTAGTTGGTGAGCTGCCCAACATAGGTGCCATAGGAAGAACGGTGTGCACTCTGAACTGCGCTGTTTTTCCAGCACCCGCTTTGTGTGGTAGGGTCAGAGCATAGCCTCAGATACAGTCTGCCTTGTGATCATGTTCTTATAATGAGGGTGGATGTGTGTGTATAGTCGGGACACTTCCGTAGAGATATCTCTCACCTGTATGAGTTCTGGGGATCTAACTGCAGTTGTCAAGCTTGTGTAAGCCATTGAGTCCCCAGAATCCACCTGCCTCTTACTGGCCAGGGCTAGAATTATAAGCATGTGCTTTGTTCACACGAATTGTTCACATACGCACTGTGCATCAAACCCAGATCTTCCATTTGTAAATCATCTTGGTGCAATCCTAGCCCCCGTGTTTTCTGTTCACATAACTCTGGATCCATCAGTTTCCTAGCCAGGGGAGCTTTAGCTCATCATCATGATACAGACCTCCAGTTCATTTAGAGTTTTAGAATTTTGTCATTGTTCAAATCCATGGTGTAAACAGACTGATGTCTGTAACCATCACACTTTCCCAATAGTTATTTTGTCATCAGTTATTTCTGAAATTCAGATGTGATTATCACAGTACTTAATATACAGCCAATTACTGGTAAATATTGAAGTTTTTTCTGTCTTCAGGTACCGCAGATGTCCATTTTCTGTACTATAAAATTCAAATTCTTTAACATACATCGGGTCCATGGTGCTGAGGGTCATATTCTACCATTCTGATCTTACTAATACAGTCTTTTCAGGTATAATACACTTCAGTCACTGGTTTGGCAACCATTCCTAAATTTGGTCCCTTTCTAGTTCAATTATCATACTGTAACCTGTGTTGGAAAGTTTGCTTTTCTGACAACCATAATGCCATATTACAGTGCCACCTAGGGATCCTGGAGAGATGGGTAAAGGTGTGATCTGTTTTTCTAGAGGACCTGGGCTGTGTTCCTCCCACCCACACAGAGCTGTTTTCCTAATCCATGGTTCCTCGGCAGTACTTTGTTCCTCAGGTCAAGTCTAATCCATGAGATTAGGTTTGAATCTAATTCTCACATACAGTGTAATGTGGAACTAATTTATTATACGTGAGCGCATGTACACCTGCACGCCAGAAGAGGGCACTAGAGGGAGTAGATGGTTGTGAGCCACCGTATAGTTGCTGGGAATTGAACTCAGGACCTCGGGAAGAGCGGACAATGCTCTTAACCACTGAGACATCTCTCCAGCCCGTAATGTGGAACTAACAAAGAGAGGAACGACTTCGAATGTTGGACAATAAGGTAGTTTAATTCTTTTGGTCTGCTGCCCTGGTCTTGGCAAACCCACGTTTGCACTAGAACGTTAAGAACCGTGACTTTGGAACTCCCTGGGACCTGTAGACATTGCAAACTGTGTCTTTGCCTTCGTGGACTGTTCCCGCGGGCACACCCTTTAGAGGGACGACTGCATTTTGTTTTGTTTTTTTGAGACTGGGTTTCTCTGTGTAGGTTTGCCTGTCCTGGAACTCTGTAGACCAGGCTGGGATGATTACGTTTTCAAAAGTACTATAAGAAACGCTTTGCTGCCTAACAAATGGCCGTTATTAAACACTAGGCTTAAGACTTTATTTTTTATAGATTTATTATTTTTACAGTATTCTGCCTGCATGTGTGCCTGCAGGCCAGAAGAGGGCACCAGATCTCGTTATAGATGGTTATGAGCCACCATGTGGTTGCTGGGAATTGACATTTGGAAGAGCAGCCAGTGTTCTTAGTCTCTGAGCCATCTCTCCAGAGCCCCTAGGCTTAAGATTTTCATGAAATGTATCCAGCAGTCTACATTGCTTCCTACGTAGGAAGCAAATGTTTTGTTGCTAAATCTTGCTGAGATGTGATCTGACCCGGATCATCTCCATCTATTCATGAGACAATGGAAATGTCCGAAGAACCAAATAGTAATGCTAGCTATAGTGATTTGCCTAGGCCAATATGAAGGGAGGCCCGGTGACCAGGTAGGTATAGAGAAAAAGGATTTGTCACAAGTCACGCTGACATTTCGGTCAGGCATAAAGGCGCCTGCGCAATAGAGTCCAGACGCCTGCGCAAAAGTGCGTTGACGAGCACCGGGCGCCCCGCCCCTGCGGAGCCGAGCCCTCGTAGTTCCGGGTGAGCGAGCCCAGACCGCGCGTGCGCCGTCGTGGCCGAGGCGGTGGCGGCGGGGCGATGGAACCGGCTGAGCTGCAGAACGAGCTAGTGTCAGCCGAGGGCCGGAACCGGAAGGCGGTGCTGTGCCAGCGTTGCGGCTCTCGGGTGCTGCAGCCGGGGACAGCGCTCTTCTCTCGCCGACAGGTAAGGAAGTCCGTAGAGCCGCTTAGACCCGCGCTGTCCTAAGCAGCCCGGCGGCTCGCCGCTCGTCCGGACTCCCAGGTTTCCGGAGACCGCGCCCTTCTTCGCCGTCCTAGCCCCGCCCCGCGGATGCGCGTGGCGACCCGGACCCGGTGGCCTGGCGTGGTTGCCTGACCTCCTCTGCCGTTCTTTTACGCAGAGTCCTCGTTTAGTGAGTTCCCCTGTCCCGGGCGTCCCACCTCCCCCAGGCCCCGAGTTCCCTGCGAGCTGACGGAGCTGAACCCAGTCTCCTGCCTCCTGGAGCTCTGGCCAACCTGCGTCCCGCCAGTATATCTCCTGCCGCCCCAAGGCACCTGAGAATCACTTGATTCCTGTCCCCCCATAGCCCTCACCCTTCTTTTGTTGTTGGTTTGGTTTGGTTTTCGAGACAGAGTTTGAAGCCTTGACTGTCCTGGACTCTGTTTGTAGACCAGGCTGCCCTCGAACTCAAGTCATCCGCCAGCCTCTGCCTCCCTGAGTACTAGGATTACAGGCGTGCGCCACCGCGCCCGGCTATCCTCACCCATTTTTCAGTCCCTATTTCTTGTTTATTTGCTGCTCTGCAGAGGAGCTCCAGAATCAAGGTTGGTGGAGAGAATGACTGCTGGTACTCACCTTCCCGAGCGAGACAGTTCCCAGGACGATGCATTTCGAGTAGATTTCGAAGCCTAACAATTCTTGCTGTTAGGAGTGTGTGTGTCTGTAATATATTTATGGCCAATTTTTATTTAAAGAGAAAGAGAGGCGTCTGGAGAGATGGCATAGTGGTTAAGAGCATTGTCTGTGTTCCAGTGGTCCTGAGTTCATTTCCAGGCAACCACATGGTGGCTCACAACCTATAATGTGATCTGGTACTCTCTTGTGTCAAGCAGGTGTGTATGCAGATTAGAGCACTCAAATACATAATCTAAATAAATCTTTAAGGAAAAAGAGAAAGCAGACTCTATGAAAATAAGTAATCCAGAATCTGAATCCTCAAGTCTTTCCCCCTTCCCCTTCTGTGCGTGTGTTTGCTCTTAGGTTTTCCTTGAGACAGGGTTTCATTGTGTAGCCTTGGCTGGCTTGGAACTTGCTCTGTAGACCAGGCTATCCTCCAACTCAGAGATCCACCTGTCCAGTTCAGACCTCCCACTGCTTCTGCTTGCTCGTTCTGACAAAGTGAAGATGATGACTAGGGAGGGTTTGGGTGGAAACCTCGGGCACTGTGCCTCCTGTGTGGTACAGTTCTTGTACCCTTTACTGGAAGCTTGCCTGCTTTTGTAAACTGACAGAAATGTAAATGTGCCTGATGGTATGTTATGGCATGTGCCTATAATGCTACACAGTTAGACCAGCAGGGATACATAAGGAGATCCTGTCTACAAATGGAATAAATCTGTTTAAGAAAAAAAAAGACATTCCTTAAAGAAATTTTATAGTCTATAGATAGAGCATTTGTTTTATATGTTTTAAATTGATGTTTTATGGGAGGGAGCCTGTGAGCAAATTAAATTATATGTTACATATCATATTTTGTTTTTCAACAGAGTACCCTTACAGAGAACAAACTATTTACAACACACATTTTTCACCTGAAATCCCATAGAGCTTCAGCATAGCTTTTTAGTCATTACCCTGGACTGTTGAAAAATGACTGTCAGGCCAGTCTAGCAAAGCTCATGTTCATCCTGAAGGAAGCTCTTCCAGTATGTATGAGGAAAATATCCGAGCAGTCTGATTCTCTTTGCAGATTGAAGGCATACATGCTCGCAGAATACTGTATACATAATCTTTAAAATATATATGTATTTATTATGTATACAGTGTTCTGCCTTCATGTATGCCTGCAGGTCAGAAGAGGCCACCATATCTCATTCTAGATGCCTATGAGGCACCATGTGGTTGCTGAGAATTGAACTCAGGACCACCTGGAGGAACAGCCAGTGCTCTTAACCTCTGAGCCATCTCTCCAGCCCTCAGCTTGCTTTTTTTATACAGCCTAGGACCATCTGCCTAGGTGTGACACTCCCTGCAGTGGGCTCAGCCTCCTACGTAAATCATTAATTAAGATAAATGCCCTACACTTGCCTGCAGGCCAGTGTGGGTGAGACCGTTGTTCCCTCTTTCCAGATGACTCTAGTTTGTGTCAAGTTAACAATAATAACAACTTTGAATCAGAACTGTTTCAGATTTTAGGGGTATGACTTTTGGGAGGAGGATGGAGGACATTTTTGCAATTATACAATGAAATATTTTAGGTTTGAGAGACGAGTCTAAACATGGATTTTGTTTCATATCTACCATTTCACATAGGCTGAAGATAATTTAATGTATTTTTGGTGTGCCTTCATTTTGCCTATAACCCATCATATGACATCAGGTGTGGAATTCTCCAGTCTTGTAATAGCAGTGCTCTAAAAGTTTCAAACATTGGAGTATTTCAGGTTGGATTTAGGAATTGAGGGACTTAGAATTTAAATGTTCTTAATTTGTATGTGTGTGTGTTTGTGTGTGCACCATATATATGCAGGAGCCCTTGGATGCCAGAAGAAGGCTTCAGACCCTCTGGAACAGGAGGCTGTGAGCCACCATGTGGATTCTGAGAACCAACCTGGGTCCTCTGGAAGAGCAGTATATGCTCTTAACCACTGAGCCATGTCTCCAGCCCGGACTTCTCATAATCTTAACATAAGCTGTTGTTGGTTAAGGTAAATAGAGGCAGGGTGACATTTCCTAATTTAAAATACAGTGTGTTTTAGAAACCATTACATTTGCCTTAGCCAGAACGGAGGTCCTGGAGCTCATGGTCAAGTAAGGGTATGGGATCGAAAGGAAGACTTGACTGTGCAACTCAGTCTTCAATGGCAATGGCAGAGTGGCCAGAGCTTCCTTAGATGACCAAATGGCAGAAACCTTGCAGGAATAAAAGTACTGAGGTAATGAGGGGCAGCTGGGAACAAGGGGAATACCCCTTTCTACTTCAGCGCTAACCTGCTGTGCGAAGAAAAAGGGAAACTCAGTGGAGTTTGGAAATTAGAAAAAGATGATGATGTAGAAGAGAGGTGTTTGATCTTTTATGGGAAGAGCGGAAGAGTAGCTTGTGGGAAAGAAAGTATAAACTGTTGGGGTGGAGTGGGAAGAAGGCTTAGCTCTGAAGAGCACCTGTGTATTGCAGAGGATCCAGGTTCAGTTCCCAGCACCCACATGGTAGTTCACAGTCATCCATAGGCTACATGGGCTTCCATGGGCTACAACTGACATCCACTGGCAGCAGGCATGCACATATGTGTAGGCAAAACACCTATATACATAAATTAAAAAGTGAATAAATCTGAAAGTATATTTAAAAGAAAACAGTATTGGGTTAAGCATATTGGAGCAGAGAACCTGAGGGCAGTAACCAAGAACAGTGTCTTATAAAACCAAACATGTATTTACAGATGGCAGCACTCTAGGATACTTTTTCCAGAAATGAAAACTCACATTCATGCTTTAATGAATGCTTGTGGCACCTGCATTCCTTTTAACACCAAGCTGGAGGCAGCACAGATGTCTCTGAGTAGGTGAATGGAGCAGTACTCAGCAGTAAACACAGAGGAGCTAAGGCTTGTTCTTTCTGTTTTTGTTTTGAGAGAGCAGCTCATGTAACTTGGATTGTCCTCAAATTTGGTTTGTAGTGGAGGATGACCTTCAACTTCCAATCCTCCTGCCTCCACCTTTCAAGTGTTGGGATTACACCATCACAGCCAGCTTGATACAGACAACTTGGATGAATCTTCAGATAATTATGCTGGTGAGCAAGCCAGCCCTCAACCATTATAAGCTTTTTATTTGGTGTTTGTCTGTTTGGTTTTGGTTTTTCTCAATGTAGCCTTGGCTGTCTTGGAACTTGCTCTGTAGACCAGGCTGGCCTCAAGATCTGCCTGTCTCTGCCTAGGATTAAAGGAGTGCACCACCACTACCTGGCCCAATTATAAGCTCTTATGAATCCATTAGTATAAAATTCTCTCTCACCCCCCCCACCCCCGTTTATTTGACGAAGTCTCACTGTGTCAAAGTGGAAGGCTAGCCTGCAGTTTTATGGTACCCAGGCGTAATGATCTTAAAGATCTCCCTGCCTTGACCTTTCCAGGGCTGGAATGTGCCATTACCAGCCCCTCCCCCTCCTCTTCTGCACGAATGTGGGGAGGGTGGGTGGAGGGGTGGTGTGTATGGGGGGGTTGTATGTCTATTTAATGTGAGACAGATCTCATATAATGTGTTGCTGAGAGGATGACCTTGAATTCTCAATCCTCTGGCCCTTATCCAAGTGTTACAGTTAAAGGCATGGACCACCAAGCCTAGTTTGTATAGTGCTGGGGACCAAACAAGGATTTTTTTGTATTTTGGGGGTTGGTTGATTGGTTGGTTGGTTGGTTGGTTGGTTGGTTGGTTGGTTGGTTTTTTGAGATAGGGTTTCTCTGTGTAGCCTTGGCTATCCTGAACTTACTTTGTAGACCAGGCTGGCCTTGAACTCACAGAAATCTGCCTGCCTCTGCCTCCCACAATGCTAGGATTATAGGTGAGCACCACTGTGCTCAGGTGTGTGAAACAGTTTGGTTGGTTGGTTGGTTGTCTTTTTAATTTTTGAGACAGTCTCTCTTGTGTAACTCTGGCTCTCCTGGAACTCTCTGTAAACCAGGCTGGCCTCGAACTTAGACACTCACCTACCTCTGCTTCCCCAGTTCTGGGATGAAAGGTGTGCACCGCTACACTTGGCCCTGTGTGACATTTTTGAAATAAGAACATTTCAGAAATGAGGATTGGATCAATGTTTGCCAGCAGATGAGATTGCAGGGCAAAGCATGGATGGATGTGGTTATGAGAAGCAGCAGAGCTCTGGTGATGGACAGAGCTGTTCACTGTCCTGACTAATGGTGAAAAAACAGCTCACAACTAAATACACAGACACAAGTCAATGGGGAGGCTGAGTCAAGAGGATCAGAGTTTAAGGCCACCCTAGGCAGCAAGACCTTAAATGAAAAGCATCAACAAAACCCTGGAAGCTGGGGAGGGTTGGCTAAGACCTCCAGATTGTATCATTGTTTGTTCTCTGGCTGTGAGAGCTAGCGGTCAGCTGTGTAAGGCGTTGCCTTCTGGGGCTCGCATTAGCCTCAAGGAATCAGTGTTACTTCTTTTGGTTGTTGTTTTGTCTTTTGAGACAGGATCTCACTATGTAGCCCTGGCTCTCTTGGAACTGGCTATGTAGACCAGGCTGCCTCAACTTTACAAAGAGCTCTCTGTTTCTGCCTCCCAAATGCTGGGTTTAAAGGGCTCTGCATCTTAAAAGTTCTTGAAAGATTTATGCTTATTTGTGCATGTATGCATGCCTGTGTCTGTGTGTCTGTGCATCTGTGTGTGTGGTGTGCACATGTCTGCAGATTCCAGCAGAGTCCAGAAGTAAGCATCAGATCACTTGGAGCTAGAGTTACAGGGAGTTTCGAGTCACCTGAAGTGGGTCCTGGCAACCACAGACACACACACAAATAAGCATCAATCTTTTAGAACTGCCCTTTAAACCCAGCACGGGGGAGGCAGAAACAGACGGTTCTATGTAAAGTTTTGCCCTTTAATCCCAGTCCTCAGGCATCTGTGAGGCAGGAAGATCATGACTTTTGACCAGCCAGGGCTATAGCGAGATGCTGTCTCTAAAATTATTGTGGGTGGGAAGCAGGTGATAGGGCAGCAGCCCCGCAGAGGAGCAGAGGGTTTGTAAGCTTTGCTGGCACTGCATTTTGCAGTGGAAAGTCTTCATGCACCAAAGGCTTTCTTTCCCCTAACAATTGAGAAGACAGGTAGGTTGAAGTTTACAAGGTCTGTACATAGGAACTCGAGAGACGGCTCGGTTGTTAAGAGCACTTGTTACTCTTCCAGAAAACATGAGTTTAGTTCCCAGCACCATGTCCCATGGCTTACAGTTGCCTTAGCTGGTTCGATCTGACGCCCTCTTCTGGCCTCCCTAGGCTCCCCCTTACCACATGCACACACGAGAATAAACGTTTAAAAATCTTGGGAATAACGCTTCAAATTCTAAAATCAGATTTCCTTTTTTATGAGATAAATCCAAGAGGAACAGATACTCTAATGGAGAAAGACAACAAATTACTGAGGCATTTTTAGGTAGGGACTGGAGAGATGGTTTAACAGGTAACAGTACTTACTACTCCTACAGAGAACCCTAGTTAAATTCCTAGCACCCATATGGTGGCTCTCAGCCAACTAAAACTCCAGTTCCAGGGGATCCAACAGGTACACATGTGATGAACATACATGCGTGCATGTGGGCAAAACATAAACACACATGAAAATCTAACAAGACATTTTCAGAAAATATAAGCATGGTGTGGAAACTGTCAGGTATGATTAATATGTTTATATCTTAATTCCCTTTTTTAAGATTTTATTTATTATGTATATAATGTTCTGCCTGCATGTACACCTGCTCACCAGAAGAAGGCACCAGATCTCATTATAGATGGTTATGAGCCACCATGTGATTGCTGGGAATTGAACTCAGGACCTTTGGAAAAGCAACCAGAGCTCTTAACCATCTCTCCAGCCCAATTATATTTTCAAATGTGCCCAAGTGTGGCAGACTGTGCATTTTAAATATGTGTAGGCTGTGCACCAGTGATTCTTCAGTTAAGCTCAATAGATAGATAGATAGATAGATAGATAGATAGATAGATAGATAGATA